AATGACCGTGCGTGGAGGGGTTCACAAATTCCGCACGACGACAGTAAACAATTCATGTCTTTCTTCTTGTCAAATAGAATTTTTCAGGAAATGTACATCCGTGTTGTTTACGCAATTGGATAATCATCAAAACTCAAAGTGCGGTTGTCAGTTTCCAATACGTAATCACAACAACAAAAGCTCTATACAAAATATTGCGCTTCGTATCACTTTCAACTCGATGGCGTGCACACTATAGAAATGTTAACATACTGAGCGGACTCTCTGGCATGACGTTACACTCACATACGGCCAACCGCTAAAAATAAATAATATGCATACGAGTGGGCGGGGCTAAAGCGGTTTTAGTTTTGGTGCATATTTATAATTTTTAAGACTTTTTTCACAATTAGATGGTGCAGATGTGGTATATATGCATGTTTGAATGGCATTATGTAAGAAAAATGCAATATGCCTAACCTTTTTAAAAATAGAATATGTTTGAGGATGATGATCAGTTGCAAGAACAAATAGACCACGGCGGAAGTGAGTGAGTGAGTGAGTGAGTGAGTGGGTGAGTGGGTGAGTGAGTGAGTGAATGAGGCTCACCTGGGTGAGTGAATGAGTGAGTGAGGCTCACCCCGCTGGACCATCTCAAGTAGTATAGAGCAGCTTTGCATTTTGCCAACCTTTTGTCATTTGTCTGCACGACTTTACATTTCAGCTATATCAACATTGTACAAGTTAAACAATCCCAAACAACCCTAGCTATCTCATGTATGTCAAAGTCGTAGCGGACAGAGGATGTCATGAGACATATCATCTCATAACTTTTGTAGCAGCTCCGTGGGCAATGAGACCATATCTGCTACTCGTCAAACAGTACAAAACTGCTCAGGGCTGGTTTGACGGTCGCATTCTTTGGATTCTTCATGGCGAGTGAAAAACGGTCATATTCCGAGTAGCATGACAACGATGTAGCTAAAAACTGCCATATGTGATACAGGGCGGCAGGCTGTTATTCACCTGCAGTATACAAAGATAAATCACCAAGGTAAAGGCAAAAATATATATATATATATATATATTTGGTATCAGTCTCCATACCATACTCATCACGTGTATCACATGTGCTTCTTTGAGGGGCAGGACTGAAGTAAAGCTGACAAACACGGCCAATGTAAATATACTGAAGGGCAAAAGAAACGTCGTAATATTGGACATTATTTTTAAGTATCAATCCAGTATTTGAACCTATTTTTTAATATACACCGGAAGTCAAGTTTGAGGAAAACATGAATCGTGGCCGTATAGCCTGTATTGCCCAATAAAGTATTGTTTGAGATTGAGGTTAGAAATGTTTTTGTTTGTGGAAAGGGAAGGGTTCGCACAAGCACAACACTGAAATCGACATGCATTCAGGCATAAATTGACGGCTTGAATGGCAATCTTTTACTTCTTTTCTGAACACAGCAGCTCTGGCTATGTCTGTGTTGAACCGTATTAGGCCCCGTCAGGTTCACTCACATGTTTGTGGTGTGCTTCTGACGATACGTATTCGGACGTGGCAATCTTCTCAGCCCATTGAGGTGCTTAATTCTGAAGTCGCCCCTTTGTATTTCATTCACTTATCCACACACAAAAACAATGTTCGTGCACATTATAACCCAATACTCATAAATCACCTGTCCATTGACATACGCAACTTCTCCTTTTTGGCAGACGCGACTCCTCTTTTGACAAACTTGACACCTGGTATGACAGACGTGACCCCTGTTTTGACAGACGTGGCTTCTCTTTTTGACAGACGTGACCCCTGTTTTGACAGAAGTGACTGCTCTTTTTTACAGCCGTGACCCCTGTTTGACAGACGTGAAACCTGTTTTGACAAACGTGAAACCTGTTTAGACAAACGTGACACCTGTTTTGACAGACGTGACACCTGTTTTGACAGACGTGACACCTGTTTTGACAGACGTGACACCTGTTTTGACAAACATGACACCTGCTTTGACAAACATGACACCTCTTTTGACAGACGTGACACTTGTTTTGACAGACGTGACTCCTCTTCTTGACAGACGTGGAACCTGTTTTGACAAATATGCCCGGCCTAAAACGTCTGCAAGAATGGTACTTGAGACATTGTCGTCGTGTCAGTGTTCAACTTCGGTTGATCTGATGCTGCTCTGTTGAAATGTATGCTATCAACATTGCTTCAACAATGACCTTTCCATATTTGAAGATAAAGTAAACTCTTTTCAAAACGATAACGCTTATAACGAACTGACGGGTATAACGATGTGATGGGTATAACGAACTGGTGGGTATAACGAACTGGTGGGTATAACGAACTGATGGGTATAACGAATTGATGGATATAACGAACTGACAGATATAACGAACTGATGGGTATAACGAACTGGTGGGTATAACGAACTGATGGGTATAACGAACTGATGGGTATAACGAACTGATGGGTGTAACGAACTGATGGTATAACGAACTGATGGGTATAACGAACTGATGGGTATAACGTATAACGAGCTGATGGGTATAACGAACTGGTGGGTATAACGAACTGGTGGGTATAACGAACTGATGGGTATAACGAATTGATGGATATAACGAACTGACAGATATAACGAACTGATGGGTATAACGAACTGATGGGTATAACGAACTGATGGGTATAACGTATAAAGAACTGGTGGGTATAACGAACTGATGGGTATAACGAACTGATGGATATAACGAACTGACAGATATAACGAACTGATGGGTATAACGAACTGGTGGGTATAACGAACTGGTGGGTATAACGAACTGTTTCTTTTGTCCCGACCACTCGCTGAATGTGGCGCTCTGGCAATCTGAGAATCTGAAAATCTTTCAGTCTGACAATCTTTCAGTCAGGCAATCTGACAATTTGACAAACCGGTTATCTGGCAATCTGGCAAGACTTCAGTCTGCCGATCTGGCAATCTCGCAATATGGAAATCTGACAAACTGGCAATATGACAACATGGCAATCTGACAATCCCACAATCTGGCAATCTAACAATCCCACAATCTGACAATCGACACGGGTACGGCATTGTCTTTTCGATGTGTGAAAATGTGCTGAAATCAAACATTGATTAAATATGTACTCAGCAGCAAAACAAACGTCAGTACAAATTCAAAATCAAATCATTTCAGAAATGGACATAATAAGGGGATCAAAACATCTTGACGCATCAATGAATAACTCAGCACAATTCCTAATAATTACGTGAACGTTTACAGTTCATTCAGACTCTTGACTTCAGTATCTAGTGTGACCACCACGAGCGGCAATAACTGCAGCACAACGTCTATGCATGGAGTGCACCAATTGATTGATGACGGCCATTGGCACCTTGGTTCACAGTCTGAGAAAGGCCTGGCGCAATAAATCGGATGGGTTCGGCCTTGGTATAACATTATTCAGTCTCCTCTGAATTTCATCCCAAAGATGTTCAATTGGGTTTAAATCAGGACTAAGGGCTGGCTACTGCATAATGTTGACACCGTTCTGCTGTAGGAAGTCCCGTGTAGCTCTGGCAGTATGGGCTCGGGCGTTATCCTGCTGGGAAATGTTGTTACGGTGAGGTGCGAAATGTGGTATGACGTGGGGTCCGAGAGCTTGGTCGATGTAGTGCACCGCTGTGATTCCGCCTCCTCTCCCTGGACCAAGGTTCTGGAGCACCACAGGACCTACTCTCTGGTTCAGGCCTTTTCCATCCCATACCATGATGCTTGCACCTCCCCATAAGTCTCTTTCCATAACTCTTTGATCTGAGTAACGCTGGCCACGTCGTCGCCATATTCTTGTTCTGCCATCTGCAGTTGATGCGCAGTACCGACTCTCATCTGTGAACAGAATTGAGCAGTTCTCCATTGCCTGTATCGCCAGTTTTGGTGTTTTAGGGCAAGCTGTAGACGGGTTCACGCCGATGACGAGGGGTGAGGATAGGTCCACGGTAAAGTCTACGGCAATGGAGGTTCCCTCTGTTAAGACGTCGGCGTACTGTATCAGTACTGATTGGTCTTCCGTGTGTTCCCACTGTCTGGCGTGCTGTTTCGGATGCCTGTATGAAGGGATTCTGTACATGCTGTCGCACAACATGGCGGTCTTGTCGTCTTGTGGTCACCCTTGGTCTGCCAGTACGGGAGCGGTCAGTTGTGGTGTTGGTGGCTCGGAAACGTTGCTTTAGCCTGTAGATGGTCCGAACGTTGACCTGGAAGTGATTGGCAACGGCTTGTGCAGTGTGGCCAGCTTCAAATCCTCCTATCGCCTGGTTCCTGTGAGCTGTCGTGAGTCGCGGCATCCAATTCCAAACTTGTGAACAGCACATGCAGCATGAGTTGCATGAAAAACATGGAGAACACCGTACTGTCTCCGAGATCAGGTTGCGTTTTTGAGACCCTTTCCTGTGTTCCATTCTGAGTTTGGGAAGAAATGACTTTGCTCAGGTAAAGTTGGAGATGTTGTCAAAAATATACAATCAAAACATTAAATGAGTTTACAGTTCTGTGAAGGAAACTTCCAAACTGACGTTTCTGTTGCTGCTTAGTATATATACTAACCAAAACATGTTCCCTGCAGCTGATCCATAGCGTATTGACAATTGGAAAACATAAGATCACATAGACAGGGGGTTGGCGATCAGATCAAATGTGTTCTAATTGTTTGTGTGATTATAGTGGTGTACTAGGTGGTTAAATGGGTCAGCCCTCAAATTCAAAATTCGGATTTTGCAGAAAATGGGCCAAAACAGCATCTGTTGGCAGGATATGCCCGGCTTCTTCGAGGTATGTTGCTGAGGGGTCGATCAATGTGATCTTCCCCATGTTGTTCAGTGAGAGCAGCGCCGAAATATTTGAGGGTGGTAGGGTTTTTGACGTTGGCGTTCACATTTGCAGTGACGTCCCTGGTGTGTTCAGTTGGGGAACGTTGAGGACTTAGTATTCTCCACGGCATGACATTGATATTTGGCTGTTGGAGGAACTGAGTCACAATTTTATTTTTCTTTATTACAAATATTCATTATGTTTAAAATATTGATGTGTTGAGACGGACGGTTTCTGTAATTATGTTTACGTTATCCACATTGCCTCACAAGGTTATAATTACGAGACAAACATTTCAATAGTGTGGCCACGTTCTGATGAGATTGTACAGAGCTGTCCCGGGACAGTCAGTGCTGCCCATGTCGCGGTGGCCTCTGAGGGTGTAGCTGGACTGAATCTTCCCCATGCTGACGCCGCAAGCAATGAGGGCCTTGACGGTGTTGAGAGCCGCACTGTTGGGGACGTGATTCATGAAGTTGCCGATCATGCAGAAACCTGGATAAATGAAAGACAATGGACATGTGATGTCAAATCTGCCTGTTGAAAGACATGAGTTTGTCGTCATTACTTCTGCCCTGAACAGCATTTGTGAGCTCCTGTCCTCGAACTGACGTATCCTGACCAGCATTGGTGAAGTCCCGTGTGTGAGCCCTGTGTAATTACTGCCCTACCCACACCAGTATGATGTTGTAGCCCGGGTTTGAGCCCCTGTCAAGTCAGTGAGTTAACCACGCCAGCCTTGTTGTAGCTCCAGGTGTGAGCCCCTGTCCAGTCACTGTCTTACCCAGACCAACACTGTTGTAGCCTCTGGTTTGAGCCCCTGTCTAGTCACTGACTTACCCAGACCAACACTGTTGTAGCGCTTAGTTTGAACCCCTTGTCCAGTCACTATCTTACCCAGACCATCACTGTTGAAGCCCCTGGTGTGAACCCCATCTGGGCACTGACTTACCCAGACCAACACTGTTGTAGCTCCAGCTGTGAGCCCATGTCTAGTCACTGACATACCCTGATCAACCGTGTTGTAGCCCCGGGTGTGAGCCACTGTTCAGTCAACGTCTTACCCAGACCATCACTGTTGTAGCCCCTGGTTTGAGCCCCTGTCCAGTCACTGTCTTACCCAGACCATCACTGTTGTAGCCTCTGGTTTGAGCCCCTGTCCAGTCACTGTCTTACCCAGACCATCACTGTTGTAGCCTCTGGTTTGAGCCCCTGTCCAGTCACTGTCTTACCCAGACCAACACTGTTGTAGCCTCTGGTTTGAGCCCCTGTCCAGTCACTGTCTTACCCAGACCATCACTGTTGTAGCCTCTGGTTTGAGCCCCTGTCCAGTGACTGTCTTACCAAGACCATCACTGTTGTAGCCTCTAGTTTGAGTCCCTGTCCTGTCACTGACATACTGAGACCATCACTGTTGTAGCCTCTGGTTTGAGCCCCTGTCTAGTCACTGTCTTACCCAGACCATCACTGTTGTAGCCTCTGGTTTGAGCCGCTGTCCAGTCACTGTCTTACCCAGACCAACACTGTTGTAGCCCCTGGTTTGAGCCCCTGTCCCGTCAATGTCTTACCCAGACCATCACTGTTGTAGCCTCTTGTTTGAGCCCCTATTTTAGTCACTGGCATACCCAGACCAACACTGTTGTAGCTCCGGGTGTTAGCCCCTGTCTAGTCACTGGCATACCCAGACCAACACTGTTGTAGCTCCGGGTGTTAGCCCCTGTCCAGTCACTAACTTACCCAGACCAACACTGTTGTAGCCCCTGGCTTGAGCCCCTTTCCAGTCAATGTCTTACCCAGACCAACACTGTTGTAGCCCTGTGTGTGAGCTCCTATCCTGTCCCAGCCACGTCCCTCGTAAGCGTTGCCGTCTTCGCCGACCAGGAAGCTGTATCCGATGTCGCTCCACCCTATGAAAAAAGAAGTATTGTCGTGGAGATGTACAGAAGAAGGGAAAGGTATCACCTGTGTTAAAAAGAACGCTCCCTTCCTGTTTTTTTCACTCTTTTGTGCTCGCCGACTCACTCATTCACTCACTCAGGTTCGATTTGTCACTGATTCAAGTATTCATTCATTCACTCACACATCCCCTCGATCACTCACTTTGTGACTCGTTTTGTCACTGATTCAAGTATTCATTCACTCACTCACTCATCCCCTCGATCACTCACGTTTTGACTCGTTTTGTCACTGATTCAAAGCATTCATTCACTCACTCACTTATCCCTTCGATCACTCACGTTTTGACTCGTTTTGTCACTGATTCAAGCATTCATTCACTCGATCACTCACTTTGTGACTCGTCTTGTCACTGATTCAAGTATTCATTCACTCACTCACTCATCCCTTCGATCACTCACGTTGTGACTCGTTTTGTCACTGATTCAAGTATTCATTCACTCACTCACTCATCCCCTCGATCACTCACTTTTTGACTCGTTTTGTCACTGATTCAAAGCATTCATTCACTCACTCACTTATCCCTTCGATCACTCACGTTTTGACTCGTTTTGTCACTGATTCAAGCATTCATTCACTCGATCACTCACTTTGTGACTCGTCTTGTCACTGATTCAAGTATTCATTCACTCACTCACTCATCCCCTCGATCACTCACTTTGTGACTCGTTTTGTCACTGATTCAAGTATTCATTCACTCACTCACTCATCCCCTCGATCACTCACGTTTTGACTCGTTTTGTCACTGATTCAAGCATTCATTCACTCACTCACTTATCCCTTCGATCACTCACTCACGTTTTGACTCGTTTTGTCACTGATTCAAGCATTCATTCACTCGATTACTCACTTTGTGAGTCGTTTTGTCACTGATTCAAGCATTCATTCACTCACTTACTCACTCACTCATCCCTTCGATCACTCACGTTGTGACTCGTTTTGTCACTGATTCAAGTATTCATTCACTCACTCACTCATCCCTCGATCACTCACTTTGTGACCCGTTTTAGCAATGATTCAAGTATTCATTCACTCACTCACTCATCCCCTCGATCACTCACTTTGTGACTCGTTTTGTCACTGATTCAAGTATTCATTCACTCACTCACTCATCCCCTCGATCACTCACTTTGTGACTCGTTTTGTCACTGATTCAAGTATACATTCACTCACTCTTCCACTCATCCCTCTATTACTCCGTTTGCGACTCACTTTGTGACGTTCTCGATCACTTACGCACTTACGCATTCACTCACTCACTCACCGTGTGTGTCCATATGGTAATTCTGATAGCTCCTGACAATGGCGGAGCAAGAGCTCTGACTGGAACAGGCTCCACTCTCTCCGTGATGGATGAAGGCGTATTTCACAGCCCCGGAAAGATGGCTAACGGAGTGAGGTGCCCTGGCGCCCCACTGCGCCCTAGTCACAATGTGAGGACACCCGGCATGAGTGCTCGTACCCCCTGAAAACGAGTACTATATGTTACCCACGTGGGACTACGCAAAATGCCGCAAATAGACTGTTATCGCATACATGTGTAATAACTGTGCGTAATAACAAATACAAGGGATCCGATTGGCTGCTATGCAAATTTTGACCTTTCTGTTACTACTTTCTGTTTATTGATTGAATGACTCATTCACAGCTTCACAAGCGTACACGTGGATGAATACCTGACTAACGCAGGTTTATCCACTAAGATAAATTGATGTGCATGCTGCATGCGCTTCACAGATATAAAAGTATCGCACACATGCCAATATGTAATTCAATGTTTCATATCAAAACAGACGTAAATAAACTGATGTACAAAGAAAGTACACACATGGTGTTTTGAGATTATTAAAAACGTAAATATTTTGCTAGCAATGTTCCAATTGGGTACGATATCTATGGTGTTATCGCAACACGTACACGATGTTTGGCACTTGTGAGTCACCATCAAAACACTTTTCTAAATATGTCGCTGTGTTGAGGAAAACATTTTACCAAAGCATCAGGTGTGTACTTTCTTTTGTACGTCATATTTTCATATAGTGTTGTGTCAAAGCTGAAGGGATCTTACTTCGAGTTATCCGAGATTCGACACAACCGATTAATTGTGGCTAAAGAATGAAAACACAGGGACCAGGCTTTACTTCGCGACAACAGTGAGATCGACACATCAAATTCCAACACAACGCTGTTTGACTGCACTTCAACTATCCATGATTTTGCAATAGTACTGTGTATGTTAGCTCTGTGCTAGCCCCCTCTTTGAACACACGAACCGGGCTCACAAGTATGGCGGTAGCATGTATACTATGATGTGTACTATGGCGGCGGAACAAAGGTCAAGGTCATTTCAAGGCGGAATGTCTGGTTTCGTCGCTATAATGTAACTCTACATAACTAATATACCATCTCCCTAGTTCATCTCGGCACCAGTTCGTCAGCTGTGCAAACAAAACGGTCCGAAAATGCATTTTGATACCTGTTCTTGTGACAGTTCTGAAATCAAGATGGCGGTGATCTGTTTACCTGTAGAACCTCCCGAGCAACTCTGAATGTTGACGTAATTCCCCGCAATCCAGCCGCTCTGCAACGAACATGGCATTCTTTTGAACAGTGATGTAATACACACATCGATGTAATACACACTGGTATGCATGCATTATCAGTCATACTGACCTGAGGAAATATACTGAGCGCCAATATGACAGACAAAGGACCTGCACCGAAGTTGGCATGAAACAAAGATAAATGACATTTTCGCTGATTTACTTCCTTACCAAATTCTTCAAGGAGTTAAAAGATACTGAAAAATATTTTTCTTCAATCTCGGGAAATATGACAGCCCTCTTTCGACACTTTTATCAAGGAAAGGAAATACGCCCTCTGTGCCTTCCTCCTCAAAGTTCTTTCAGTCACTTAACTGACCCTGTTCAAAACCGTATTGACCCCATTCCAATCCGTATTGACCCTTTCAAACCCGTACTGGTCCCTTTCAAACCCGTATTGACCCCTTCAAACCCGTACTAGCCCCTTCAAACCCGTATAGATACACCTAAAACCCATGTTGACCCCTTCATACCCGTATTTTCCATCTTTCTTCAAGTCCGCCTTGGCCTTCAAAACATTCGCACTAGCACTCATTATCCTTATTAGACCCTCCTTAAACCCATCCGCCATAAAGCTGGCATATTGCTGAGTGCGGCGTAAAACTAAACTCACTTAAACCCGCATTTCCCTCAGTTCCGTATTGGCCCTCATCAATCCCAAAACCTCTTTTAAGCCGTATTGCCCAGCATAGCCATCATTCACCGAATCCTGCAGCAATGTGTGTGTGTGTTGGTGTTGTGTGTGTGTGTGTTGGTGTGTGTCTCTGTCTGTGTCTGTGTGTGTCTGTGTGTCTCTCTCTCTCTCTGTGTGTCTGTCTCTCTCTCTGTGTCTGTGTCTGTTTCTCTCTGCGTGTGTGTCTGTGTGTGTGTCTGTGTGTGTGTGTGTGTGTCTGTGTGTGCCTGTGTGTGTGTCTGTGTGTCTCTCTGTCTGTGTGTGTCTGTGTATGTGTCTGTGTGTGTGTCTGTCTATCTCTGTGTGTGTCTGTGTCTCTCTCTCTGTCTGTGTGTCTGTTTCTGTGTGTGTCTGTGTGTCTGTCTGTGTGCGATGTGTCTGTGTCTGTGTGTGTCTCTGTGTGTGTCTGTCTGTGTCTGTCTGTGTGTGTGTGTGTGTTTCTGTGTCTGTCTGTGTGTGTGTGTGTGTGTCTCTGTGTGTGCTGTGTGTGTGTGTGTGTGTGTCTGTGTGTGTGTTGGTGTGTGTGTGTGTGTCTGTGTGTGTGTGTGTGTGTGTGTGTGTGTGTGTCTGTGTGTGTGTGTGTGTATGTGTATGTGTGTGTCTGTGTGTGTGTGTGTGTGTGTGTCTGTGTGTGTCTGTGTGTACGTGTGTGTGTGTGTGTGTGTGTGTGTGTGTGTGTGTGTGTGTGTGTCTGTGTGAAACCCAGCTGTCTCTCTGTGTGTATGTGCGTGCGTGCGTGCGTGCGACGTGTGTGTGTGTGAAGAAACCTAGCTTCTCTGATGTTTATATTGTTCACGACACGTGAGTTACTCCCGTGTCAATGCAGCGTTTGTCCCCAACATGTGCTCATCGTTCCTGGGATTTTGTGTGTCAGACAGAAATACACTGACGTACGAAGGAAGTACACACTATGTGATTACTTTCTTTTGTGGATCAGTTTATATTTTTACGACCATACCTTCAAAACACACTTCATAACAATCCGTTATGCCCAAAGTCAAATTAATTTGCTGTAAAACCTGAGGCTGGTGACCTACTTCACAGTATTTTACTAGAATGACTTTCACTCTGAATGTAGTACCTACCTTGCCGTTGAAGTTGACATGCATCCACCCGCTGTTCTGATCGCCTTCATAGGTGGCGCAACTCCCTTTTGTCAGCACGCCAAGGATTGCATGGCTCGTTCCAACACCCGACCGGACGTGGACATCTCCTGTGGCGCATGCGCACTGAGCAGCGCTAGCTCCACGTAGAGTCGTTGCCAAGAAACCAACGGTCACCAAACTCAGCAGCATCATAAATCTTGAGACCTATGAAATAGAAATTGAACAGAAATATAAACTGAAAAGATAAAGTATTTCATAAAGGTAACAATGGTCATCAACCCAGATCGTCCTAAGAAAAACATTAAAAGGATTTTTACAATATTCCCCTTGTTAAGAAACCACAAGGACATGTTTCTCAACATCCTACCATTAATTTAAGGCCTGGTAGGTCAGTGCATTTTTCACCTCTTTCCGTAGCAAGACATATTTTGTCCATTTTAGATTTTAGTCTTCGTCACTTTTCCTCAACGTAGTTCGCCCCGTATAGCTGCAAATTTGCTGAATATGCGGCGTTAAACCATATTCTGTCAGTTCCACCTTAACTGTATGAATTCCCGACCAGGGAAATGTACCTGTTAATATATTGACTAACTGTGACGATGTTTGTGACAATACTTGTAAACTTGTCACTGAAGTTAGGGGAGCAATTCCAACCATTGTTGCAACAATAGTCTCATTTCAACTGCTGTAGTAGTGAGTGAGTTTAGTTTTACGCCGCACTCAGCAATATTCCAGCTATATGGCGGCGGTTTGTAAATAACCGAGTCTGGACCAGACAATCCAATGATAAACAGCATGAGCATCGATCTGCGCAATTGGGAACCAATGACATATGTCAACCAAGTCTGCGAGTCTGACCACTCGATCCTGTTAGTCGCCACTTCTGACAAGCATGGGTTACTGAAGACCAATTCTAACCCGGATCTTCACGGATACCTGCTGCAGCAAAACAAGGCCATTTATAAAAACGGAAAGACGAAAAGAAATAGTCACCTTTCGAATTTGGAAACATGGAATTAATGCAAAACATTACAGTTTTATGTGGCCTTTCAAAACTATATCATTTGTGACCAGTGTGACAAACTTTTAAGTCATAATTTGGAATATTATAAAATCATTATTACTGTGTGTGATCGATTCCAATTCTATACAGAGGACTTCATAATCACGAATTAGTGAGTATTGCTATACGCCTCTTTTAGAAATACTCCAGTAATATCTGGGTGGGGATACCACCAATCGGCTTTACACTTACATGTATCTTATTCACGAACCTATATGTTTGTTTATTTGTTTGTTTAAGGCGACACTCAGCAGTATTCAGTGGTCTATAATATAGCTTGGAACAGACAAACCAGTGATCAACAGTATGAGCATCGATCTTAATGACATGAGTCAACCAAGTCAACGAGCCTGACCACACGATCCAGTTTGTCGCGTCTTACGACAAGCATGGGTTGCTGAAAACCTATTCTACCCCGGACCTTCACGGGCAGTAATATATACGTCAATAGATGATTAGAGTCACAGTCACATGTACTGTGTTCATACTATCGTGTGGCACTAGAGGAAAATCATATAGCCTAGAGGAAACCCGTATCATATAGCACTAGAGGAAACCCGTATCATATAGCACTAGAGGAAACCCGTATCATATAGCACTAGAGGAAATCCGTATCATATAGCACTAGAGGAAATCCGCATCATATAGCACTAGAGGAAATCCGTATCATATAGCACTAGAGGAAATCCGTATCATATAGCACGAAACCCGTATCATATGGCACTAGAGGAAACCCGTATCATATACACTACTGATACACAAGTGCACACAAAATACCACCTGATTCTGAGTTTAAATGGACCGCCTCCGTGGTGTAGTGGTTAGAGCGTCCGCCCGGAGAGCGGAAGGTCGCGGGTTCGATCCCCGACCGCGTCATACCAAAAGACGTTAAAATATGGTACTTGTTGGTCCCTGTCTGGCGCTCGGCATTAATGGGTACAACAAGGACTGGTCGGCTCGGAGTCAGTATAGTGTGTCTGAGTGGGGTATTCATGCTTCACTGCGGCATGGTATCTCAGTGAGCTAGCACTATAAAACCAGCTTAAGTCTGGGTTAGTACAAGCAGCCGCACATACACATACATACGCATGCACGTCGTCATATGAGCGAAATATTCTCAAGCAGGACGTTAAACCCAATTTCACCTCACCTCACCTGAATTTAAATGAGCGTGTGTGAGGGAATGAGTGATTTTAGTTTTACACCACACTCAGCAATATTCCAGCTAAATGGCGGAGGTCTGTAAAATATTAGAGTCTGGACCAGACAATCCAGTGATCAACAGCATGAGCATCGATCTGAGCATTTGGGATCCGATGACATATAAGTCCCTCACGATAAGCATGGGTTACTGAAGACCAATTCTAACCCGGACCTTCACGGGTGATATATAATGAAGCAAACGATGGACAACAACTTCTAGTTTATTACATACACCGGGGCGGTGGGGTAGCCTAATTGTTAAAGCGTTGGCTCGTCACGCCGAAGACCCGGGTTCGA